GTAAGTGCTTTTTATAATATGCACCGAAAATGGTTTGTATGTGAGCGCGCTCGTGCGTATGCGGCGTCGCATACACACACTTACAAAATTATCAAAGACCGAAGGTATAGGAGTTCAAGGCACGAGTGGCAACTAACCAGTCGTGGCTGGTACGTAGTGCCCGCGCATGCTCTGCGTCGCTGTATTGCTCGTTTTCTAATTTCTGGACTTAAACAAGATGGCTTAAACAAAAACAAGTTGTCCCACCTGATAACTTTGTTGAAAACATTAAAAGGATGGAACAGGTTTTTCGAGAATCATTTGAAAAGGAACATATAAACTGTAAAATCGGCATGTCAATTTAGGAACAATTTAAACACGTTAAGTTTTCATTGCCATGCCCATTTTTTACAAATATTTTTTTGCAAAAAATTATTTGTAACAATGAGGATATATTTTACATTAACTTCTATAAAATAATAAGGCATTTTGTACTTGTCGAAACAAGCGAAATTATTTTTCTGTATAAAATTCTATTAAAAATTACACTTAAAACTACTTTTTTTATATAATTTGAAGCGAGCCTGATTATTTGGAAAAAATAAATAAATAAATAATTAATTAAAACCATGTTTTAATTTAACAAAACACAAAATTTATGACATGACGTAGGTATGAAAAAAATTGTCGTCAGCGCCTGGTCTATATATTAAAAAAAACGTTATATTCTAGTTCCCGGATACTTATGGTAAGCATCCGGGAACTAGAATATAAGTTTCGTTAAGAACCAGGGGAAACTATATTTTAGAGATTGATTGACCATGCATTTCTGACGATTGAATAACCTATAAGCGACAGCCCTACATGTTTAGGCCATTATCTCTCGCTCGGGTCTCGACTGCACCTACTTATATATTTGTACTGTGTCACTGCTGACTCGGTGGTGATGCTCCTTCAACATTTTATAGCCAGAAGAGGAACACCAGTGATGACTACATTAATTAAAACCACTGCCTATCTGTTGAATTTTAATATTTAATTCGCCATATTCACACAAAAGGGAAAACACTAGTTGACATGTAAAAAAAAAACTTTCATAAATAACCAAAGAGGTTAAAATAATCCAAACTGCCTTTATTGTCATTTAATATTTTTCGAAGCTTATGTTGCACATGGAAAATGTTTACAATCCCTGCCGCCTTTTGAACTCGACAATAAAGAACAAACAGTATTCAACTATAGTTACTGATCACCTAACACATAAATATAAAATTGTCCCACTCACCCTAGAATATCGGCAAATCTGTCCCGGTGCGGTGCCGCACCGACGATGAGCGGTATCGTTGGTATTTGCTGTTGGGCGTTCAATGTTGGAGGTACATTCTCATTTTCTATTCGAGATCCGCTTCTGCAAAAGCCGTAATTTTAATATTATATAAGGTTAGTACGTAGTCATTCGTGTATAAAATAATATAGAAAAAGTACTATTTAGACGATAACATTTATTTAGAAACAATACATCATTTTCTTGTTAATTACCTTCTTGCTCTGGACGCAGGAGGAGGTAAAATTAGAGCTGCTCCTACTGCAAAATACGGAAACCTGGAAATAATGACAATGAAATTAGAACCTAATATTTAGGTATATAAAAGATATGTAGCAAATCAAAAGAATTATGTTTATCAGTCGTGCTATATAATCACCGTAGAGCTTGCGGAGCTGTCGGGCGGTCCCGCGGTGGATAGCGAAGTAATGCCGCTAACAGCGCCAGCGACGGTGGTGACGCGGTTGGAACTATACGTGCCAGTGGCACGCCAGTGCATACCGGAAACCGGAATCGTAGCGCCTCCGCTAATGTATATCCTTCCGGCCACTCCTCCCGAGACGGGGTGCCCAACACCGCACACACTTTATGCAATTGGTCGATCTCCGAGTTTCCGGGAAACAAAGGACGGCACGTGTAGAGCTCAGCAGCAATACAACCTAATGCCCATAGATCGATGGGAGCGCCGTAGCGCGTATCATGGAGCAAAACCTCGGGTGCCCGGTACCAACGTGTCGATACATAATCTGTGTAAGGTGGTCGGGAGCGCACCTCGCGGGCTAGGCCCAAGTCGGCTATTTTCACGAGCTCGGGACCAGCACACAACAGGTTTTCTGGCTTCAGATCACGATGAAAAAATCCATGCCTATGCATGTGTGCAAGTCCCTGGAGAACCTGATAAAGAATATTGCGCAACACCGGCTCCGGAAACGGTCGCTCCGCATCACGAATCAATTGGTACAGGTTTCCTCGCATATACTCAAAAACGAAATAAAGAGTATCATTCTCACGTATGACTTCTCGAAGTTTAACTATATTAGCATGGTTTAACTTTTTAAGTGATTTCACTTCACGCAAATTCATAGCCTCATCCCAAGAATAATATTTTCTCTTCATTCGTTTGATGGCCACCTTCTCCCCGGTATCACGTCTCTGCGCCAACACTACAGACCCGTACGTGCCGTCGCCTAGTTGTTGCAACACTACGTAGCGATTCATGGTGGAAGCAGATCACTCCTCGCTTACTTATATTCGCACACAGTTTTAAAAATGCTAGCGACTTCGGCTCTTGAATGTTTTTTCATCTTTATAAAGTTCTTACATATAATTTACAGCATTAAACTGTATTGTTTGTTCTCACATGGACTTGCTTAATATTTAACAGTTTATCACTACTCGAGGAGAACATTTATTACCCACCGAATAAAATATAAAGGTAAAATAATTATGGTCTCATTTGACTAGAAAAATTCTAATCAATTTTAATAAACAAAAACACAACAACCGTTCCCCGAGTGTTGTGACGTGTGATGTGATTCATTATGTTACCATGACAACTACATAGTAATGATTAAACGAGAATGTTGAAACTCGAGATCTAAGGTTAAAAGTCTATGAAACGAAGCATTGATAGTACAATCAACAGCATATCAGTTGCTAAAAAATGAGGTATATACCTACATCTGATTTTATTATACCTATAATAGACGTAAGCGCGTTTTTTTCTTAGGTGAAAATAATTATTAAAATTTGTTTTTTTGATTCCTAGCTTATTTATTTTATCAATTTAAGCTAAATATAATTGGCATAGATCAGGAACTGGTTTTGATGATAATAAAACAAATAAATAAAACCAAATGACCGGGTTATGACGAGATACCTCCTAACTATTTATGTAATTGTGCTACTAGACTTGCCTTACCGATTACTATTTTAATTTAATTATTCACTTAGCGAATGTATCTTCCATATAATGTGGAAGGAAGCTCATATAATTCCAATATTTAAGAAGGGATCTAAAACTATTATCCGTAACTAGAGACCTATATCGACACTAAATGCGCTTAGCAAATTGTTTAAAAAAATTGCAACTACGGCGGGAGACCTTATACACCTATGATATTACAATAAAAAAGAAAAGATAGGTCATGTTAATACTAATACGAGGTCAATTATTGTCCCCAGCATATACACACGCGAAGGGGTACCTTGCTTTGTTCCTAATGCCTACTTTTACCTAAATGGACGAAACGTCCGTTCGAAACGAACAGCAGGTTTAAACATTAAATTTCAAAATCACAAAGACACGTACAGTTATACTATCGCTACTGAACTCGCTTGTCAACGGCGGACACCTTGAGGCTTGAGTCAGGTGTTATGTTAATGCGTATGTGCTTTTTTGTCTCTTACAATAATATTGTCAACAATAGATTGACTTCCTACTCAACATACTCTAGAAATCAGTTTTATCATAATACATATATTACTTATTAAGTACCTAGTGTAGTTATGATCTCTTAAAAATCTCTGCGTTGGTATCGTGTGCGTCGGGTCGTTACGTTCCCTCAAATATAGATGAGCGAAGCGATGACTGACTCATATGTCAAGCTCGTAAACGGGTGCTGCCAGTTGGGGTTGAGTCTGCACTGCACTTTTTAATTTTGTCCATTTTCTTTTATTATGAATAATGTATATTGAATTTTCAATGAGTATGTAGGATTTCTGATATTGCAACGGATAGTGACTTCATAGTCTAATTAAGTCTCATTCCAATGAGACTTCTGTGTGAAATAAAACAGGGAGAAAAAAGCAGCCCTTGTTGAGTTTCTTGCCAGTTCTTCTCAGTACAAGATCGCCCGCCTTATTTTTGCGAACTGTTGGCAAAGTTTTCGACTTTCACAAGTGCTATGTAACAGCCTAGACTGAATTGATTTTCATATTTATATTAATAGAATTCTACATGTGGATGCATAATGGCACATATGGAAATATGGCACATAAAAAACAAGCTGAATGCAGCGCTCCGTTTTTGTTCTTGATTCCAAACTTGAATTCGGAGTCAATTGAAGTTACGAGCAACCAATAAGTTGGCTCATTGCTAATATTGACATATCAATCAAATATCGTTCCATTACACGTAACATAATAAATAACTAAAATATACGATTCAAATAAAATAAATTTGAAAGTTAGATATTATAAGAAACACGAAACGATGTCATATTTATTAATTTTCGATACTCAATTTACTTTTATTACGTCAGAAACAACAATTTAATGAATATCATAGGCAAGATTCAAACATCCTTAGTGACATCTAGTTTGATTTCAAGAACTAATTTTTTTGAACATTGATTTGTATACATGCATGCAATCCGCATTTATGAAACGTACACACTATCGGTCAGTTGCACGAACACCCATTCAGTATTAATAACAGCATTAAGCTCTAATGAATGTTCTAAATTAGAAAAAAATTTATCAACGTAATGTCGCTTTAAACTAATGACAATTTTAATGGACCCTTCTGGAACAGACACACCTCTGGTAGTGTTATATCCAAGAATCATATTCAATGTTGAGTGCATTTTGATTGAATTCCAAAATCACGTTCTTCTTTCGTATTAAGAGGGCGTATATACCACCCGTTATCCGTAGACTTTCATTGAAGTTTATTAACAAAATTGTGTCCATAATCTACTGTTTTCGTCCGGATAAAAACACATTAATCGATTTGAAAATTAATTGAAAACAGAAACCTCACTATTTAGTTCAGTATTTATTTATGTCAATGTCAAATGTGGCTTCATTTATGATTTAGTATCCAAACTGATATTGTTAATCCTATAAAAAATATAACACATTAACGGGCAAGCAATATCAACTGGCTATGTTTTTAAGAAATGAGTGCTGTGTTAACTAGATGTAGAGTAAGCCCAGAACAATTAGATATTTTGTTGAATTTTATGGAAGACCATCCCGACTTTGCGGCGGGAAAACAATCACTTTTTTCACGGTTTAGTACAAGCAAATTGTGGCGTCTCTTGGCGGAAAGATTGAACGCTGCGGCGGCTGACAGCGGCGGTGCTCGTAAAAGCCCCGATAAGTGGTGCAGGGTTAGTACGTGTATCATCATCTACCCTCTACAGATACATCTTAGTGTCGGCAGAAATGCTTTGTGATCTGTTTCTAACATAGTTAGAGTGTATGCAATAAATTGGTGAATATATTCTGTCACTACTCACTTTGAGATATTATCTTGTAATATGTTTGTTTTTAATTTTTTGTATTGTAACAATATATAAAACCAAAAGTAAGCAGAGTATTTTTATTTTCAAGTAACTAACCAGTGAAACACTTTTCATATTCATTTCATGTTACATCTTTCAGTACTGTATTTTCAAGTAACTAACCAGTGAAACACTTTTCATATTCATTTCATGTTACATCTTTCAGTACTGGGCAGATATTAAATATAAAGCAAGACGAAAATTTGCTGCTGGTGGAGCTCTTGGGGAGTTATCCAGCGCCGAGGAAAGACTGCAAAACATACTGAGGAACAGCGGAAGAGATTGTAAGCATAGATTTTATTTAGTTATGTGATGTCAGCATCAGATTTATCAAAGAGTGAATTGACCAATTAATTCTGATAAGCACATATTTACTTGAAAAACCATCAACAAGATTTGCTTGGTGGCATAAGCTGTTAGGCAGTGTGAAAGAATTGTGTATAACAATTAGAGATGCACCAAATATTTGTTTGGTATTTGGAATTTATTCACCATTTGTATACAGCTGAATTATTTGGTTTTGGTGCCAAATATATTTTGTTAGAGTATTTGTATATTCTAGGCTACCTATCACATCACAGTACAGAACTATAAGGCAAATCTTATATATAATACTATTTTTGTTGATTTTTATTACTTATTATAAGTCAAGAAATGTAATGAAGAATGTGTTAAATAAAATTAATAAAAAACAATTAAACTTCAACATTTATTTTTGAGCCTGTTTAAGCTATTTAATAAATTTTTAGTCTACTAACATTTTTACACCTTAACTTACATTCATATCATTACTTAATTAATAAGTATAGTAGAAAACAATTATATGCAAACACAGCCTGCATTTAGTCCTACATATTGATAAGCAACCACAAACAAAAGTATCAAAGATGGATTAATCAAGACTCTTGCTGCTCAATGGTTCTTCTTTCTAATATTAAATTATCGAAATAAAAAGTTATAGGTCTATACGTCAGAAAGGATGTTTTTACTTCTTTTTCTATCATTCATTTTTGAAGTATTATAGGTAATAGTTATTATGTCTACGTTATATTGAATGAAATATTGCACATTAGTTACATGCAATCGGGTTCAGAATCAACTTTTGTTAGGTAGACGTCTAGCTAGCAGGCACACTAGAAAGACGATCTGTATTTGTACGAATTTTCCACAGATTTGGCTGTATCTCACGGATGATGCGTTGGATCTCCGATTCGAACTCGGGAATTGGTTTATTCTGTCGCCGCAGGAGCGATAAATTGAATAAAATATTTAACTGTCGTACATCAAACGTATTTTTGTTTTTTTCTCTTTAATGAGGAAAGACGGGGCAGCGATAGCCGCGACCACTATTCGAACGACCTTCGTTTTCGTGGAGCGGGACCGGAAGCCCCGAATGGTCTCGTGCGACGATCTGGTAGTGTAGTCTGTTTGTTGCTAATCATCGCCTGGTCGGCAGCGAGCGGTCGCGGCGCGGCCTCGGACGAGGAGCGCAAGCCGACGGCGGACGACGACATGTGCTCGGAGGGGTCGGGCGCGGGGGGCGCGGGCGGGGTGGGGGGCGCGGGGGCGGGGGCGGGGCTCGCGCCCGAGGACCTGCTGGCGGAGGCGGCCATGCGCACGGCGCTCGCCGCCGAGAAGCAGGCGGAGGCGGTGGCGCAGGCCGTCGATCTGCTGCGAGATCTAGTGCAGGTATGTATGTATGTGTTCTATGCGGAGGCGAGTTGTAGATTCGTGATCGATTGGAACGATAACCGCAATTGTTCACTCGTGAAATTAAGTTCTCAACAGGTACGAGGTCGGGCACTCCGGTTTATTAAAGTTTTCTATGAGAAAACTTTCCGCAAAAATCCTAAGAGTAAACGTGTATCAGTTATCTAAAGTTTTAACATCCAACAGCATTTTTACATGTAATATAATACTAGTAACATGTGTGACATTTTGTGTAACTTTGATTTTTTCCATTGAAATTTGAATTTTTATTATTATAATTTGTACTTAATTTCAAAATAAATTACAATTTAATCAGGTACAGTCCCCTTACTTTCGAACGCAATCGCAAGCGATCGACATTGCAATTGTGCCGTTTCGCACTCTCGATCGGTTCACCGTTCTACTCTGGCGCTAATGTGACCGATCGAGACTACGAAACGGTACAACTGCAATATAGATCGGGCGCGATTGCGTTCGAGAGTAAGGGGCCAGGTCTCCGAAAACTACCATGACATGTAAAAACTATACCTCACGACGTCGTAGTACTCCGGAAGGAACCTTAAATCGTGATTCAAGTGTTTTTTTATATAAATATGATATCGATAGAGCGTTTATTTCGATAAAATATTATTTTACACTCGCTACAATATTAAACGAGCAACATCGTAGAGACTCAATATCGGTCACATCTTTGGTAAACGTCATTCGGGGTCGACGAAGAAACACGACTAGGTCCCGGCGTAGTAGAGATTTCACTAGAAAACAATTTTTTTTTACATCGCACGGGGACGAGGACGTTTTGGATTTTAAGTTTTCAGGGGTGCGGCGACAAAAAAGAAATCAATACTTAATTTTCGGGAGCGATGATCGATTTCGAAATCGACGTATAAAATTTTATCTCGACGGCGGCTTCACTCCTCCGCTCGGTGCGCAGGTGCTGCGGGAGCGCGGACTGCCGCCGCCGCCGCCGCCGCACCACCACCGGCTGTAGCGGCGGCCAGCCCCAGCCGCTGCGCCACGTGCGCGTGCGTGGCGTCGGCGCGCCGGCGCGCGCGTGCCGCCCCGTGCTGCAGCACGTCCCGCAGCAGGCGCGGGCGCGCCAGCAGGCGGGCGGCGCGCGCGCGCACGGGCGCCAGGGCCCGCTGCAGCGCGCGCGCCACCACGCCCTTGTACTGCGCCGTGCTGAGGTGCGCCGCCTCCTCCGTCGCCTCCTCGGCCGTCAACCCGGCCGCGAGGCAGTGCAGCCGTATCAGGTTGGACACGCCCGGCCGCGTCTCCGGCGCGTACGTCACCTGCGCCCGGTCCGTTTCTATTGTACGCATCGAATCGAATCGAACCCGACGTCCGGGGACGCTCATCGAATCGGTATATTAGACTGCGAGCGGTCCCGCCTTCGCGTGCCAGATCCGGAGTGGATTTTTTGAGCATTTTTCATGGAACATCCGACTCGGGAGGTCGGCGACTCACCTGGGGCGTGAAGTCCGTCACCGCTTTTCTGATTTTCCGCTCGATCGCGTCGTCCGGGTCGCTCAGGAGGATGCGCGACTTGGGGTCCGGGTCCGATTTGGACATCTTCTTCGAGGGATCGCGGAGACTCAGGATCCGGTCGCCGCCCTCGTCTGCGGGGAGCGAATTTCACGGTCGCATGAGACTGCGGGCGATTCCCCGGTCGGGCGGGCGAGTCGACCGAGTACCTGAGAGCAGCGGCTGCGGCGTGGGGAAGGCGCGGCCGTAGCGGTGGTGGAACGTGCGCACGAGCTGCGCCGCCAGTTGCACGTGCTGCAGCTGGTCGCGGCCCACCACCGCGTGCGTGCCGCGGTACACCAGCACGTCCGCCGCCTGACAATTGCGAACCCGTTCAACCACCGGTCACCCGTCGCGACGTGTCTCTTTTTTAAACCGAACTTTTCTACGAGTCAAAAGATCGGCGGAGCCGTCGGTCGATCGCCCGACGAATATCGGTTTCGCGTCGAAAGTATCGACTCTCCGGCGATCCTTTAACGTTTTATCGAACTTCTCCTCCGATCGGCCTCCCGGCGAGGAACGTCGGAGGGCGTCGCGCGACCGATCGGGAGCGTCACCTGCAGAACGGGGTAGAGCAGCAGCCCCAACGGCACCTCCCGGCGCGCGGCCGCCTTGTCGCGGTACTGCGGCAGGCGCGCCAGCCGCGCGACGGGCGCCAGGCACGCCAGCGCCCAGCACAGCTCGGCGTGGCGCGGCACCGCCGACTGCAGGAACAGCACGCAGCGCTCCGGCTCCAGGCCGCTCGCCACCAGGAACGCCGCCGCCTCCAGCGAGTTGCGCCGCAGCGCCGCCGCGTCCTGCCGCACGCGTCTATCAGATCCTCCGGGGCTCATACACCGTAACGCGAGTCGCGTCGATCTCCAGTAGCGGACGAGATAGATTTTCTGAACTAGACACCTCCCGGCCGATAGACGAACCGCCCGACTTAATAGTATTTTTTATGTCCCGTGAATGAATGAACGAGGTCTATTACGAATTTTGAAAAAAAAGAACACTATCCGATAAAAATCCATTTTTATATCGATCAAACTGCACGTTGATCGCAAATTATTGATGACTTTTGTGCAAAGTACGGTCGACGGCGCGTCGGGTTATGCAAATCTGTAAAATTTCTCTAGTCGATTTTAAACTTTCGAGTCCTCGAAGGTAGAGTTTAAAATCGACTAGGGACAGAAATTTGACATGATCTAACGAAGAGCCGTGTGCGCGTCCGACGTGCAAAAAATATCGTATCGAACTTTAACAGTAACGATATTTTATAAAATTAAACAGATAACATGCAAAATTTTATATCAAGAAGAACTTAACGATCGACAGCGATCATCCGAACGACAAAAATTCTATAAAAATAACGACCGGCCGCTAGAGAATGACATTGAATTTCGAAATGGCAAAGACGAGTGATAACTATTAAGCGTAATTATGCTTTCGTTGCTGAATACGCACGGTGACGGCAGGTGTCTATAGAGTTTTAAAACCAGTGTAATAGGTGGATATAATTCTTAATATATTGATGAACAAATATATAGATATGATTCGGTTCATATTGGCACATGTGGCTACATAACATACTGAATTTTGCACTTTCACTTGTTCTGAATTCCAAACCTGAGTTTAGGTGTATCTGATTCTAGTTAACTTGAGTTTAAATGCAACCGATAAGTTGTGCCATCAATAGTGTTTGCATTTTAGCCTGCAGCTATCATTCCTTTACATGTAACATAAAATAAATGAATAATAATATAAACATTGAAATATGTAAAACACAAAACGAAATTTCTTTTCAAGCAGTTTGAATGTTTAATCAGAAAAAGTAACAACATATATGGAAAATGCCATTTATTAAATAATTTAAACAATAATGCATATTATAATTCATATTAATGATACTTAAAAATCATATAACAAAACTGTTAATGATAACTTTCTATGATGGCACTGGATTCCACTGCTGGTAAAATAACATCTTGTCACGTTAAAAACAAAAAAAGCATTTGTAGACATTTCAAAAGTGCTTGTTATTAATGCATCGCTCCTGTGCCCCGCCGCTGCTTTAACAGCATTGATATTTATTTCATAAATAGTGTTTTCATATCATATGAATATTATAATTGAAATTTAATTAGAACAAATTTTCATCTTTATGGAAAGTTTAAACATTTATAAAAATATTGCTTTCGGTTATCTGGGTGGATTACCTGAACATTGATGAAAATATGCACTATAGAAGTGAAGAGGTAGCAAGTGCTTGAAAATTTTGTCAGTTCTGTTAAGTCCTCATAGCTCAGTAGTTAAAGCAGTCGCCTGGATTGCGAAAAGTCATGGGTTTGAGTCCCGTTTCAGAGTGCCAGGGCAATGGATTTTTGAATGAAAAATTGATCAAATACAAAAGTTAAATACATTTTACAAATATTTTTATTTGCGACTAACCTGATGAGAAGTGAGTGAATGTAGATCTGCTATGAAGATTGTGAGGTCCTCGCCCTCTTCAACGAGTTGCGCGCATCGCTTCACCGCACCGAAGAAATTGCCAACATGCAGCGCTCCTGTCGGCTGCACTCCTGTCACCACACGACGAGGCCATTCTGGCTCATTGGAACTCTGTCACATATGTCAATAAAAAAAGTATTAAAAATAATACGTACTGGTAGTTTAAGATCTAGGACGCTTAATTCTTACTTTCTCGCAGTAAGACCGAATTGTGTGTCTGCGAACGATATGAACATATTTATTACAACGAATCAGATTTTTTCGTAGAACTTCCATAGGGCAATTATCTTTTTATAATATTGTGTTAATCATTTAAGGGTAGCTCTAGAAAAGTATTATTCTTGTATAGGGTTATCAAGAGATTTGCTCTTTTTACTCTTACAATTATCTTTTTTAAAAGGAATTTTTAAGGTTATCCATAATCACAACAATGAATTATGATGACAAGGATTGGGCAAAAACCATCGATATATCAAAATATCGATATAAATCAACGATATTTTTTCCCGCGATATATCGGTTTCGATATTTATTTTCAGATATCAAATTCATATTATAATCGATATATCTTTTAAAGTTCCGCTGTCAGCTCATACGTCGCATCATGTTTTTCTTAAATTTAAAAAAAGAAGTAGGCTGTATGAGTTTAGAAATTACAGTGTATATCCTGCTTCTCTTTTTTGTTTCTTTATGACAATGATATTGCGTGTTTGTTTGGTTCGTATCACTGAGAGTACTCCTGATGTTAATATCAGATAAATACTGATTTGTTTGAATAATGTAATTTTTGTTGTGTTGATGATGTTGTTATCTTGGCTTTATGTACCTATTTTAAATAAGAAAACAACCAGGTGTTTATTTCCTTTAAAATTTCGAATATTTTGACAATTTTAATAGATAAACGCTTATTGCGAAAAAAATATCGATACGGTATATATCGATACTTTTCCCATTTGCACATCCCTAATGATGACTGACGGGATGCGAAAAAAAGTATCTATACTTTTGTATCGATACTCTCCTCTCTCCCCATTTCTCATAAATTTACAGGCTAAGAAAAAGAAATAATCATTAAACAAAATATCCACTCCAACACAGCTCTAGTAGTTATAATCTGCATTAATCAATGTTTAATGAGGAACTATTGAAAAAAATAAAGAAGCTACAGAAATTTATGTCACTAGATGGCAGCACAAATTGTAGGATTATTTTTTATGGTTATACAAATATCGTGCAATCTGAAGTTGACATCTAAAACATAATGTTGTCTTTTTACCCGACTGCGCGACGCAAAGGAGGGTAATTTGTTTATCAGTCTATGTATGTTTCTATGTGGCGTTCTAGAGACCAAATGTGTAGGCCGATTATGGTGATTCTTACGTCAATCGATTCGTCTTAGCCCTTGCCAGTGTCACTAAAGACATGACAGTAATCAAAATTCACCACAGCGATCACCCGACGCCATATTGTCAAAATGAAAAAAAAAAATCGATGAACTACACAGACCAAAAAGAAGATACTACGTATGAACTATGTCAAGTGGGGTGTCGTTGAATAGGTATTTTAAAATCATCTTCCTTTATAATTTTACATTTTAAGAAATAGTTAAGGATATATAACGATTTAAAGTTGTTTAACAAAACAATCATTCTCGCTAATTTTCTTACTTATTGATTTAAGTTTAAATATAAAGTATAAACAATATACAAACAAAAAAAGACAGTGTAAAAGCATGAAGAACAAATTGTTTTGGTAAAAAATAGAGTATATGTAGCTTTGAGCCGAGTTAGGTCTCTAGAGAGACTAATCATTAGTAGTTTAGACCATCGCAAGTTACTTAATACTCCACGATATTAACTCCCACGATGAAATGACTAGATTGCGAAATTTACCATTTTATAACGAAGTCAACGAATCGTAACTAAAAAGTATAAAATAAAAATAAATAATTTAAAGAAAAACAAAAAACCCGACTGCGTAAAAACGAAAAAAAAAAATTATAATATATAAATACTTTTAGATTATCTTAAAATGAAATAGAAAGATGAAAATGGCTGAGTTAAATTGGAGCAGAAAATATTAGATAATAGTGCAAAAGTTACTTTTATCTGCTCACTTCATTTTATGTAGTTCTTTTGATCGAACTTAAATAATAATAAAATAACGAGATGATGTATTGCTAATCGAAAATTAACTGGTAAGAATTTCTGACAATTGCTTTTGTAGCTTAATTTTACAAAGTTATCTATGACACTTAGTTGATTTTCATTTGATTTAACTGATTTCTTTATTAAGTTTTTATATAGTCATTTTTTTATTCTGTAAATGTACCTTTATTTTTAAATGATTTTGGAAAATAATATTAACAGTCTTGAAGTAATGATATAATGAATGTTTTGAATAAAAAAATACAATATATTATAATATTAAAATAAAATAATCTGGCCACAATTTATATTTCAGTAGAATATACAATATTTATATTACAATAATATGAATAATTTTAATTAAGTGTGTGAGCTGTAATGTAATGAATGAGCTGTATGAATTAATATTTATAAATTTCTATTTAGTCCGTCAGTGAGATAATAGAAAAATATTAGATACTTACGTATTTATTTTTTTCTTCAATTTGAACAAGAAATGGCTTAGTTATTAGGCATTAAAGTTGAGGTGGTTGAGGAGTCAAGTCACAGTTTTGTAGAAAATATACCATAACGTGACGACATGCGACATAACTCAATATATCGCAGTAATTTATTGAATACGCGAAAAATAAAAAATACGTATTTAATATTCTTCAATAATCCACCTGACGGACATAAAAACAAAAATTAGTCGTCATCCATATTCCGCAGAGCCAAGCAATACCATCATCTTGTGGTTATTTGCTAAAAGAACGTGTTTCCAAAGAGTACATTCTTATTTTATGAAATTAATTTTTCGGTAAAGTGAAGTATAT